TGGGAGTTAAAGTGACAAGGAAATATTCAAATCTGTTTCAGGAAAACTTGGTTGCTCTAGCAGACAGTTTGAAACAATCTTTTGCTTTTTGGAATGCGCTACCTCTTTCTCTTATCGGAAGGATTAATGTCATTAAAATGAGTGTGTTGCCCAAATTTCTATATTTATTTCAATGTCTACCCATTTTTATTCCAAAATCTTTTTTTATTTCACTGGATCAAACATTCATGCATTTTATTTGGGATGGCAAGGTACCACGGATTGGTAGAAAACATTTACAGAAGCCTAAGTCATTGGGGGGTTTAGCTCTACCAAATTTTCAGACATACTATTGGGCTGCAAATTTCAGAGCCCTTCTGTACTGGCTGCAGACTGATCCTACTGGCCCTAGACCAATCTGGGTCCAGATGGAGTCTGAATCGTGTAAACCTGCTGCACTTTCTTCTGTGTTGTGCTCGTCTCTCCCAGTGTCCCTAGGCAAAAGGTGTGTCAACCCAATTGTAAAGCAGTCTCTTAAAATTTGGAATCAGTTCCGCTTAGCCTTTGGCCTCCGAGGCTTTTCTCTATCAGGCCCAATCAATCAGAACATTTTATTTCCTCCATCTTTGAATGATGGGGCTTTTGACATCTGGCACTCACTAGGCCTCTCCTCACTAGCCCAATTATTCTTTGATGATACATTTGCCTCTTTTGCTCAGCTACAGGAAAGGTTCAACCTCCCCCAATCCCACTTTTTCCGCTATCTCCAGACTAGGAACTTTGTCAGAGCTAACACACCTGAATTTCCCCATAGGCCTGTGAATACAGCTATAGAGAGCATCCTGGAGCTGAACAAGCTTCCTAGGGGCGCAATTTCAGATGTATATGCAATCATTCATGACTTACAGAACCCTTCTTTGGTGCCTTTAAAGACTCGATGGGAAAAGGATTTGGGCGAGGAACTTGGGGAAGACACCTGGGAATCTGTGCTGCGCAGGGTGCATTCGTCCTCTTTTAGCACTAGACACAGCCTCATTCAATTCAAGGTGGTTCACCGTATCCACTGGTCTGGGGCCAGACTTGGAAGAATATTCTCTGATTTTGATCCTACCTGTGTCAGATGTAAAATTGAACCGGCCACACTGTTGCATATGTTCTGGGGCTGTCATAAACTGTCAGGTTTCTGGGAATTAATATTTAAATGTTTCTCTGATATATATAACACTGTTATAGATCCCTCTCCCCTTACAGCCCTTTTTGGAGTACTGCCCATAAGCACCCCCCTGTCAAGAATCCAGTCGGACACTGTTGCTTATACAACTCTTTTAGCTAGACGGCTAATACTACAGAACTGGAAGATGGCAGCTCCCCCATCTTATAAATATTGGGTGAGAGACGTGTTGTGCTCTCTGAAACTAGAAAAAATTTAATTCAATTCACGTGGGAACCCCAAACTGTTTAATGAGGCTTGGGCTCCATTCCGGTCTTACTTTAAACAGTCCATCCTCTGATAGCATTCCTATTAAAACCAAAATAAGTCTGTATTTGACCCCCCTGTGACTTAGGGGTTGGATGAGCATTTCTCTGTGTTTTTTTTCTGGGGTGGGGGTGGGGGGCATTAAGGTTGATGTGCTTATTGATTGTGACCTGCGGATGCCTTGTTCATCTCGCCCGGGCAGAGACTAAGGTGTGAGCTTGTTTTTCCCAGTTATTTTTATTTTTTTAATTCTGTTCACGCCTACATAAAATTATCAATATTCATTTTTTATTTTAAAGCATTGTAACTTTTTATCTTTGGTCCAGTGGATGATTGGTCTGTGGCCTTGACTGTCTGTGAGTGGTTGCATTTCTCCACCCCATCCCTTAACTGTTTACAGGAACAATGGTGAGGTGTTTGCTCTGTCCCTATACTATAGATTGCCCTTTAACCTTTTGTAGCCTTCTGCCTGGTGTGTTTAACTTGTCTAAAGTATGGTATCTTTAAAGTTTTTTTTTTTAGTTTTTTTATATGTATTATTTGTATTTTTGTCTAGTTGAGTATATTATTTATATTGCTTTGTCTTGTCTGTGTGTGTGTAAAACTTAATAAACAGAGTTCTCAAAAAAAAAAAATAGCTGTGCAGCGACGCTCCCTATCCAACCTGACAGAGCTTGAGAGGATCTGCAGAGAATAATTGGAGAAACTCCCCAAATACAGGTGTATTTGCGTCATACCAAAGAAGACTCGAGGCTGTAATCGCTGCCAAAGGTGCTTCAACAAAGTACTGAGTAAAGGGTCTGAATACTTATGTAAATGTAATATTTTACAAAAATGTTCAAAGGCCTGTTTTTGCTTCATCAATATAGGGTATAGTGTGTAGATTGATGAGGGGGGAAAAAAACTATTTAATCAATTTTAGAATAAGGCTGTAACGTAACAATGTGGAAAAGTGAAGGGGTCTGACTACTTTTCAAATGCACTGGAGTTGCTTACCAAGACGACATTGAATGTTCCTGAGTGGCCAGGTTACAGTTTTGACTTAAATCGGCTTGAAAATCTATGGCAAGACTTGACAGGTGTGAAAAGCTTTTAGAGACTTACCCAGAAAGACTCACAGCTGTAATCGCTGCCAAAGGTGCTTCTAAAAAGAATTGACTCAGGGGTGTGAATGCTTATGTAAATTAGATATTTCTGTATTTCATTTTCAATAAATTAGCGCAAATCTCTAAACACAGGTTTTCACTTTGTCGTTATGGGGTATTGTGTGTAGATGGGTGACGAAAATAAATACATTTAATCAATTTTGAATTCAGGCTGTAACACAACAAAATGTGGAATAAATCAAGGAGTATGAATAATTTCTGAAGGCACTGTACGTTTGCACCCCTATTTTGAAAGTGGGGGTGCAGCTGCTCCGTTTGCGCCATTGCTCAGGTGCCTATGAGCAAGTCTGAACACAGTTAACCACCGCCTTTAAAGGACAAACTTTTCAGTTTATAGGCACCATAGAAAAAGGGATATTGTCTCTCACCTAGAAGTAGAGTCAGCTATGATCAGAGGGGAGTCAGTTGGATTTGGGCAGAACTGTCAGTAGCAGACTGATATTTATTTTTATTTATACAGTGGGGGAAAAAAGTATTTAGTCAGCCACCAATTGTGCAAGTTCTCCCACTTAAAAAGATGAGAGAGGCCTGTAATTTTCATCATAGGTACACGTCAACTATGACAGACAAAATGAGGAAAAATTTTCCAGAAAATCACATTGTAGGATTTTTAATGAATTTATTTGCAAATTATGGTGGAAAATAAGTATTTGGTCAATAACAAAAGTTTCTCAATACTTTGTTATATACCATTTGTTAGCAATGACACAGGTCAAACGTTTTCTGTAAGTCTTCACAAGGTTTTCACACACTGTTGCTGGTATTTTGGCCCATTCCTCCATGCAGATCTCCTCTAGAGCAGTGGTGTTTTGGGGCTGTCGCTGGGCAACACAGACTTTCAACTCCCTCCAAAGATTTTCTATGGGGTTGAGATCTGGAGACTGGCTAGGCCACTCCAGGACCTTGAAATGCTTCTTACGAAGCCACTCCTTCGTTGCACGGGCGGTGTGTTTGGGATCATTGTCATGCTGAAAGACCCAGCCACGTTTAATCTTCAATGCCCTTGCTGATGGAAGGAGGTTTTCACTCAAAATCTCACGATACATGGCCCCATTCATTCTTTCCTTTACACGGATCAGTCGTCCTGGTCCCTTTGCAGAAAAACAGCCCCAAAGCATGATGTTTCCACCCCCATGCTTCACAGTAGGTATGGTGTTCTTTGGATGCAACTCAGCATTCTTTGTCCTCCAAACACGACGAGTTGAGTTTTTACCAAAAAGTTATATTTTGGTTTCATCTGACCATATGACATTCTCCCAATCCTCTTCTGGATCATCCAAATGCACTCTAGCAAACTTCAGACGGGCCTGGACATATACTGGCTTAAGCAGGGGGACACTTCTGGCACTGCAGGATTTGAGTCCCTGGTGGCGTAGTGTGTTACTGATGGTAGGCTTTGTTACTTTGGTCCCAGCTCTCTGCAGGTCATTCACTAGGTCCCCCCGTGTGGTTCTGGGATTTTTGCTCACCGTTCTTGTGATCATTTTGACCCCACGGGGTGAGATCTTGCGTGGAGCCCCAGATCGAGGGAGATTATCAGTGGTCTTGTATGTCTTCCATTTCCTAATAATTGCTCCCACAGTTGATTTCTTCAAACCAAGCTGCTTACCTATTGCAGATTCAGTCTTCCCAGCCTGGTGCAGGTCTACAATTTTGTTTCTGGTGTCCTTTGACAGCTCTTTGGTCTTGGCCATAGTGGAGTTTGGAGTGTGACTGTTTGAGGTTGTGGACAGGTGTCTTTTATACTGATAACAAGTTCAAACAGGTGCCATTAATACAGGTAACGAGTGGAGGACAGAGGAGCCTCTTAAAGAAGAAGTTACAGGTCTGTGAGAGCCAGAAATCTTGCTTGTTTGTAGGTGACCAAATACTTATTTTCCACCATAATTTGCAAATAAATTCATTAAAAATCCTACAATGTGATTTTCTGGATATTTTTTTCTCAATTTGTCTGTCATAGTTTACGTGTACCTATGATGAAAATTACAGGCCTCTCTCATCTTTTTAAGTGGGAGAACTTGCACAATTGGTGGCTGACTAAATACTTTTTTTCCCCACTGTATATTTCTTAATTCCATTCTTTTACTTTTAGATGTGTGTGTATTGTTGTGAATTGTTAGAAATGACTGCACTGTTGAAGCTAGAAACACAAGCATTCCGCAATAACATCTGCTAAATATGTGTATGTGACCAATAAAATTTGATTTGACTCTGTCTCTTGACTTGGGTCATCTTTCCACCACTCTCTGTGCAGTCCAAGGGCACAAGAGCAATGGTTGGGGAAACATTGACCCCTGGGGCATATCCAGCCCCATTTGCTGTAGTGCCGCCTTCAGGCCAAGCGCAGATGCACTCACAGGCCTCTCAGATTCCCCTGTATGGACAAGGCCCAGGACAGGGACAGGAAAGGACCCCGTCAGCTCAGTGACAAGTTCCCCCTCAACAGTGCCCCCAACAGGATCAGGAGAGGAGTGGGTAGGAGGCAGATCGATCTCCCGGACGATGTCCTCACCAGGGCCTGACTGGCCCTGCAGCTCCGACTCACCCTCATGGCTTGATGGCTGAGGGTCCTTTGTGTTTCAAAGCGGCAGTAAAACTTGTTGAGCTGGTTAGGTAGAAGGGGGTTATCTGCTGCAAAAGCGGTCTTTTGTTTGTAATTTGTGATCTTCTGAAGACCCCTCCAGACAGACGAGCAGTCGTTAGTGGAGAATTGTTGTTCTAGCCTCTCCTTGTATTGTTTTTGGCTGCTTTAATCCCCTTATTCAGATTATTTCACCACTCTGTAATGGTCCATGTTGCCACTCCTATGTGCCTCTTCCTTGGCAGAGCGTAGGCCTCTCAGCTCTGCATTGAGCCAGGGTTTTTCATTGTTGAATGTGACAAAAGTACTGGTTGGAATGCAGTTTTCCCCAGACACTGATGTAAGATGTTACCCTGCCTGTGTAGTCATGTATGTTGATATTGTCTTCCTTGAAAATGTCCCAATCGGTGGAGTCTAGGCAGTCCTTTAACTCCCGAATGGCCTCATTGGCCTATTTCTTCACTGCTCTAGTCCCAGTTCTACCTGTTAATCTTGAAACACCCTTGGCCTGCCTGTGCTCCATCTGGTTGTGTGGGGCTCAGTCTGTGCCTTCCCTGAACCACTGCTCCGTCTCTCTGTGTCCCCAACAGAGAGGGCCTGAGACACCAGCCAGGCAGCCACATAGCCCAGATACGCTCCATAACAATAACACAGCTCGTTATCTGCAGTGTCCTAGTTCTCAGTACAGCACTTTGTCTGTATGCAACACAACCTGTCCTTATTTATCCTCTATAGGATTTTATACACAAAAGGTCCCTTCTCACAGAACTTTGCTTTTTCAGAAGCGTTACTTGGAGACTTAGAGAGGGCATAGTGGGAAAGGATTTATTTTCAGGGCGTAACATGGCAATTAACCTAATGAAACCTGGCTGTCTTTTCTCAGTAGCATATTAAGTAATAACTTTGGTGCTCATATCAGCTTGTCAAGAATGTGCCCACACATGACATTTGACAGCCATTCCCACCCATGAAACCTATTTTAACTACTGGTAGACTGATAGTCTGTGCAGACGGCTTAAAGGCCCAGTGCAGTCAAAAACTTGATTTTACTGTGTTTTATATATATTTCCACTCTAGTATGAGGTTGAAATAATACTATGAAATTGTTTAAATGATGATAATTCCCTTTTAGTGTAAGGGCTGTTTGAAAAGACGGCCTGAAATGTCAGCCTGTTTTGGTGGGATGGAGTTTTGACCTGCCTGGGGACATTCACCAATAAGAAAGGGCGTTCCAAACTCTCTGCCAATAACAGCTCATTTTCAGTTTTCCCATCCCCACATACACCACTCCCAGACAGTCCTAGCAAAATTCTTGCTTGAGAAATTGTCCTTTGCTAAGAACCTATTTTTGTTTCTTTTTGACCATTTTAATTAAAAACAATCACAGTAATTGTTATCCAGAAATTATTTGATATTGAGATAAAAACGGCTGCATTGGACCTTTTAAGATTGAGTACATAAACCATCTGAGTGTTGTCTTTATGTTTGCTAGTACCATACAGATAGGGCTAGTGGTGCCTTTGTCAAAGTTACCTATTACATCAGCCTTTTCACTCTAATCCTCGCTGCTCTCTGTGAATCAGAGGTAGTGAGTGAGTGCCTGGGAGTGTAGGGTGCGCCTCTCCCGTTCCCTCCTCCCTCCCTGTCCGTTCCTCCCCTCAGTGGAGTGAAGTGGAGCACGCTGAACTTGGAGCAGCTAGTGGCTGGTTGCCTGGACTGCAGTAAGGGTGCCTGTTGGATCTATCTCCCCTCCCCTCTCTCCCTCTCGATCGTCTCCCGGAGTCATGAGCTTCTTCTAGCTGGCCAGGATGAAAAGTGGGAGGCATTGTTGTTCCTGTTGTGGTTGGATTCTAGCTAAGTGTTGCTACTGCTGTTACAAAGTGACAGGTGCGTACCTTACTACTGACTGAAATACAACTCAAAAGGTAAGTAACATCCCTGACTGAGGTACAGATAAAAGCATTGCTTAACAATATTCAAGATCTTTCCGTGAGCCCTATGTGTGTTTTTGGGCTCCCGCCACAAGTCCAGGGTTAGGAATGGAGATCTTGAATATTGTTAAGCAATACTTTTATCTGTACATCAGTCAGGGATGTTGCTTACCATTTGACTTGTATTTGCTACAAACATTTGTGAGAGAATGCTTGTATCTGACTTTGCATACTGTAGCTGGTTGACGCTATTAGAAGTCTCTCCTGTTTAAGATTGCATTACCTTGCCAGCGTTTACTTGTTTGTGGATTTTTGGGGGATTTATTGTGTAGAATCTTAGTGGGACAATGCAGCACTCTATCACTCGCGTTCAAACAGGAATCTTTCCTCTCCTTCTATTCCCTCTCCTTTCCTTTCCTTTGCTGTCATTTTTCACTAAGGCTTGGTGTCTTCTTGCTGTGTAGCGTGGACAGAGGCAAAGTTTGTCTCTAATGCTTTTTAATGTGACCCGAGGTACTCACTCAAACATTTGTGAGAGAAAGCTTGTATCTGACTTCACATACTTCATAGTAGCTGGCTGACAGCCTGAAGAATCTATCCTGTTTAATATTGCATGGCATTTGCATTTCCAGTGTTTAATTGTCTGCTGATGTTTTAAGGCTTGGTGCTGTAGAGGGGACAGAGGCAAAGTGCCTCTCTGCTGTGCACTAATGTGACCTTAAGTACTCACTCATTATCTATTAACTCAGGCAGCATCTCTGGGCTGTGAACGATAAGAGAGATAGCTGCTGCAATGGTGAACACTCAATGAGAGCTGCACTGGCACCAACTGCTATTGTATGCTATTGTATCATTATGCTGTCTTCATGCAAGAGGATGCAGAGAGTCAGAGGGATTGGGATGAAGCTGTGTGAAAAATAGGTACTTTTTTGGATCAGCACAGTAGGCTCCCATTCATACACGTTGAATGCATTACTATGAATTACATAACACGTGAGGTGTTCATTAATAAGTGTTACAAATGTCATGGATTTTCATTTTCAACATTTCTGTCATGGTATGTCTCTCAAGAATGTGGGATAATATACGTGAAAATCAGATTTTTCTCCCCTCGAACATAGATTCTTGTCGAGGGTAGATAGTAACACCGCTGGTGTCTTTGAAGACCAAATTAGCCACAAATGTTATTTCATCTGAAGCATTACAACAAGTTTCTTTGAAGATGACTCTTAGGGGGGAACTTTAGAGAGGTCTGTCTGAATGTGGATGGGATGGCTCTCTCCTTTAATTGTTGCGCTGCGAGTTAACTAACTATCCAATGTCTGGGTCATTACTGCTCTTGTTGTTGTTGTTTTTAAATCCTTTATGGGTTTACATTTTGCTCGTTCAGCAAATGGACGCCGACATGCCGATAATGTAACCCACACTTAGGAGGTAGCTTGTAGAGAGAATCGAAAACTCTTCGGATATGCATGGAATGCAATCGTTCCACATTATAAAAATGCCACAAAGTGAGTTACATTGATGGACTGATGAAGAAATAAAACCTGTCTGTCAATAGAAATACCGAAGCACTGGCGTAGTACCAGGAAAAGCAGGACCTTCAGTTGCACGCAAGCAAGGAATTCAACTTTCTGTTTACTGGAAGTCAGATGACATGACAGTGAAGAAGAATAGTCAAGGAGTAGACACAAAAAATACCTCATGGATAAACGACTGATAACAAGTTTCTGCTGATTTGTTCCATTGCTGACAGGGCATCTCAGTCACAGGTTACGTCCCAATTGGCCCTATGGGCCCTGGTCAAAAGTAGTGCACTACATAGGAAATAGGGTGCCATCAGTTTAGCCTTTTAGAAGGCCATTTGGGACGCAACCATGGTTTCAGGAAGTTTCCAGAAGATAACATGCGGTTGTGGCAAGTAGAATAACACATGCAAGTTGCAGGAACATTCTGTGAACAGTCTTACTTGGATAACTAGCTGTATGGTGACTTGTGTAAAGTTGTAGAGGATTCTCAGGCTAATTCAACTCGTTTCTGAACAGACACTGCTCATAGCCCCAGAGATTCTCTTTAATTTAATTAATGTATTTTAATGAATATGTCCACCCGTGGGACATTCCACACTGTACACATCTTTAAATGTGGGCATACTGTACTAAGGATCTGTGTTGCTCCATATTTGACACCACATATCAGGACAGGTAGTCATTAAAAAACGATTAGAAAACAGACATGAGGCTGGCATGGAGGAGTTTGTGTGTAGACTAGAGCAGTACACTGTCAGCCATTGTTCTCATGTGCGGTGCGCATGGTGAATCAGGTGTATTGAGAGTGATAGCAGCCTGAAGGCTGTGTTGTTGAGTTGTGGCCAGGAGCAATGGACCCCTGAGAGGGTGACAGGAAGCCTGGGGAAGTATGTATCAAGGGGCAGTATTTATCAAGCGCCTCAGTCGGAGTGCTGATCTAGGATTAACTCCCCCCTGTCCATGTAATCTTATTCATTGTGATCTAAAAGGCTAAACTGATCCTAAATCAGACATTGGATACATACTGCCCTTGAGGTGCTCTCTTCCTCTTCCACCTCCTCTTTCTCCTCCATGCCTCTCCAGCCCTGTGCACTGAGGTGAAGACTGGCCTTCCTGCCTGCTTCACTCTCAGGGGGGTTGCTAGGGCACTGTGGGTCCTCAACAGAAAACATCTCAGGCATTTTTACCGCTCACATGTTCCAGCTGCCGGCCTGCTCCAATACGTGCCCCTGTCTCCCCCAGTCTATTGTCAACCCTGGCTCAATTAGAAATCACTTCAAGTCATTGCGATACAGCATGCTGGTGGAGAAACTCTTTCTGGGAATGGTTATCTCTCTGCTTTTTCTCTTTTGTGCACTCTGAAGCTGAGACTAGTTAAGTACAAGAAAGAGGATTTTGACACCATTTCAGATTATTCTGAAATTGTTAGAAACATTCACATTCCTGCGACATTATTTTGTTGTAATAGAATTTGATATCTGCGAAATGAAGCTAATTGATTGCACCCAAATTGGCAATTAAAATGTATAGGATTCATATAATATTCAATAAATATAGTACCTAACATCCAATTCAATAAATATAGTACCTAACATCCAATTTGGACCAAACATGTTTCTAACAATGAGTTAGACATGAGGAATCCAAAGAAATGGTCAAAAGCCACCCACGGACCTCCACACCCCACACCAATCCCACCCCAACAACGAGTATATAAATAATATAAAATAAATAAATAAGTATATAGTATCAGTTCCCTATGTCTGACGTAGTATATAGCTGCAGCTCAGAGTATTGTTTCTTCATGCTATGTAATGTTTTACCAGTGAATTTGGTGAAGTTTTTTCTCCTGTTCAGAGAAATTAGTAATTGAAGTTGTTAGGTTTTGTCCCATCCTACATCCTGATATTACCAGGTTCTGACCACTAGATGGTGCTGTTCCAGGTTATTTCTTTTTTTTAAAGAACCCCTCCCCCCCCTCAATGTTAAAGGGATAGTTCACCCAAATTGGATTTGTTGTCCACTGTTTCAAATACTTTACAAAATCTTTTTAGCATTTGTGGCACAAATCCAATGCAAGTCAATGGTACCTATATTTCACGCTTCATGTCTAAATCATCCTGAAGTATCTAAAATGATGTTACTTATAGATAATATGGATATGAAGCGTGAAAATGCTAATATAGGGTCGTTCCACCATTGACTTGCATTGGATTTGTGCCACAAATGCTAAAAAGATTTTCTAAAGTATTTGAAACAGTGGACAACAAATCCAATTTGGGTGAACTGTAAAACAAAATCAAAGCATGGGTTGCTGTCATACCTTGTCCATAAACTGGAAACCGATGTGTCATTTTGTAATTTGAGTAAACTATGCCTTTAACAATAGTAGGAACAGCACCATCTAGTGGTCAGAACCTGGCAATATCAGGATGTAGGATGGGCCATAAACCTAACATTTACATTTTAGTCATTTAGCAGACGCTGTTATCCAGAGCGACTTACAGTTAAGTGAGTGCATACATTTTCATACTGGCCCCCTGTGGGAAACGAACCCACAACCCTGGCGTTGCAAACGCCATGCTCTACCAACTGAGCTACATCCCTGCAGGCCATGCCCGCCCCTACCCTGGACGACGCTGGCTAATTGTGTGCCGGCTACGACAGAGGCTGGATTCGAACCAGGATCTCTAGTGGCACAGCTAGCACTGCGATGCAGTGCCTTAGACCACTGCGCCACTCGGGAGACTAACAACTTCAATGACACATTTCTCTGAACACCGGAGAAAAAAAAACATCACCAAATTCACTGAGAATACATTATGGGTCAAAACAATTCGGCTGCACTCAATAGTTTTCAGAAATGAGACAATACAACCAATTTTTGGATGCTGGGTGGGAGGCTGGGGTTTGAACAAAATCCCATGGTTGCGTCATACTGTTCAAAAATTGGCAAACGATGTTGCATTTTTGTAATATGTAATATGAATCCTAAAATTAGGAAAGCCATATGGTGAACCTGGCATATATCTAGAGAGGATGGCCAATTAAACTACATTTACATTTTTAGTCATTTAGCAGACGCTTTACCAGAGCGACTCGTTAAGTGAGGCTAATTGTTCATACGGCCCTGTGGGAAACAACCAACAACCTGGCTTGCAAACGCCCATGCTTACCAACTGGACCTACATCCTGGGGGGGGCTGGCCCGCCCTACCCACGACGCTGGTAATGGGTGCGGGCTACGACGAGGTGGATTCGAACCAGGGCTTCTAGTGGCCACAGTCAGCAGGCTCCATAGTACTTGTCAGAAATAGAGAAATTATACTGTATACTTATTGTTAGGGTGGGATTGGCGTGGGGTGGGGGGGTCGGTGGGTGGCTTTTGACAATTTATTTTGATTCCTCATGTCTTGCTCATTGTTAGAAAAAAGATTGGTCCAAATCGGATGTTGGGCACTATTTATTGAATATTTTATATGAATCCTATAAATTAAAATGGCCAATTTGGGTGCAATACATTTTATTAATTTCTCAGAGATCAAATTATATTTCAACAAAATAATGTTGCAGGAATGCTAATCTTATCTGTTTCTAACTACAGAAATGATTTCAGAACAATCTGAGATGGTGGGTGTCATGGCTTGCTGAAATGACATGGAACGACTCTCAAGGTCATTCCACAGGTTGCCATTGTGTGAGACTGGCTCTATATCACACAACTTAATCACTGTTGGTGACACAGAAATATGATACTCTGTTTACTCCATGCGATAATAACTCACACAAGCGTTTTAAACAGTCAGACAGTTTAACTGGAGCAGTGGTCCCAAAGCATAAAAACGTCCAAAAATATAAAGTGATAATACAACATTTAGACTAAATTCACCATCAGAGCAGGTTCTACAAACCTTTTGATTTCATGTTGAGGAGTCATATTATTTCAACATAATATTACCCTGAATATTTATAGGGTTGGATATAATATACCCCCGTTTGTGGTATGAAGGGATTATTCTTAGTGGCTTTTTCTAGTGAAAACAGAAGGCGTGTGATAGAAAATGCTGATTCTGCGAAAGCACTAGGTAGTGGTGAGACAGCCGAGTGAGGAATGAGAATATGATCTCTCTTATTGCGGCCATTAAGCTTGCGAGGTGGGAAATTAAGGCGCTTAAGAGGACCATGTGATACCAAGGCTGTGTCCCAAATGGCACCCTATTCCCTATATAGTGCACCACTTTTGATCAGAGCCCTATGAGTGTCCCTATGGGCCCTGGTCAAATGTATTGCTCTATAAAGGAGAATAGGGTGCCTTTTTGGGCCACAGGCCATGTGTACAAAGAGCAGCGCCTATTGGCCGGCCAAGAGCGCCACTATTTTTGCAGCACATGAGAGTGCCTGCTGTCGTCAGCAAGCCTCAGTGTTACGCGCTGCTCTCCGAAGTGCTTTTCAGCAGGCAATCATGTGTGGCGTCACAAGGCCAGCTCAACAAGCCACTGTCCAGTCACAGTGAGATTGTCACCACAGACAGCCTGCAGCGAATGTTACCAAATCTGTGTCTCAAATGGCACCTTATTCCCTACATAGTCTACTACTTTTGACGAGGGCTCTGGTCTAAAGTAGTGCACTAAAGTAGTGACTATGCTGCAATTTACTGTGTATGGAATTAGGCTGGCATTTGGGAAGCAGACCAAATATCTTTGAAGTGGAATAGTAATCCTCATGTATGGCGGTTATTGAACAGAGTAGGCCTAGCCTGGAGCACTATGCTCCACAGCAGCTATGCAAGTCATAGATGTAAGTGCACACACGTGTCCCATGCAGCCCAGTGTTTGAGTGCTCTCTCTCAGACAAAGGCCCATGGAGAAGGCCTGTCTGAAGAGCAGTGTTCATGTTATCAAAGAGCCGTTTCATCAGTTGACTCCACATAAAGAGGAGAGGCTGTGTTGTGAGTCACCTCAGTTAAAGGGATAGTTCAGGATTTTGGTAAATTAATGCCCTTTATCTACTGTACTTTACCAGAGTCAGATTAACTTGTGGATACCATTTTTATGTAGACAAAGGGCCTCATTGCCAAAGTCCTGAACTATCTATTCCTTCAGCCTGCCCTGTGGGCTGCTGAGCTAATCTACTTTATAATATCTAACTACAGGCTTCGTCCACATGATTCTCCACAAGATCACTTCCCCATAATGAGTCACCTAGCACAGAAGCAGCAAGTCAGCAGCAACACAGGCTACGCTATCCCACGTTGCATTTTCCTGTCAATGAATGTGTCCCAAATGGCACCCTATTCCTATTACCTATATACTGTAGTGCACTACTTTTGACTGGGCGCCAATAGGGCTCTGGTCAAAAGTATTGCACTATAGAGTATAAGGAATAGGGTGCCATTTGGGACACACAAAATGAAGACCACTGAGGATATTGGAGCATGGCGTTGTCTACCGTATAGCTACCAGAGGACCTAAAGTCCATTTGCTTTCTTGACCAGGGTGATGTCTACTGTACAGGACACCCTGTTGTTGGAAGTCATGAACTTTTAACCCTTTAGATTAAACAGATGCAACTGTCTGCCCCAGTAACTACTTTACAGTTTCTCCATGTATATTAATACATACATTCCCCATTAGCCCACATTAACATCTTGGGTTGTTGCGCTTCCTTTCACTGCTTAACTCAATTTTTTTTCGACCGGTCTACAATCGCTCGCGGGCACGAGAGGTGTTATTCTCCCTCTTTTGTTTGCCACAATAGGGCTGACTGGAGCAGCACATATCTCCCTAACCGGCTGATAACAACATCCTGGGTCTTTTCAACAGCATGGACAGACTTTTGTTTTGTTTGACCTGGCTCACCTGGTCAACAGTGGGCCTGCCTCCACAGCACAAACATATCTCCCCTTTCATCTCAATGGCTTGGCAAAATGTTTCCTTTAGTATCAAGCTATTTTCTATCTCAGTGGATGGATGTTTTCTCTGCTTTTATAGTTAGTAATACTGACGATACTTCAGGATTGTGTTCAGTCGGGAGAAAATCATTTTTTGTTGTTTTCTGTTGCAAAATGTTTTGCGATGGTGTACCCTACTTCAAGTTAGGGTACATTTTAATCCGACTTTGTAACGCAACAAAATGTGGAAAAGGTCAAGGGGGTTGAATATTTTCCGAAGGCACTGTACGTCTTCAACTTGGTTAAATAGTTAGCAACAGCCGAAACTAGTCCACCTTATTAGCCATTATGAAACAAGCTGCAGTTTATTAACATAACAAAAGTAAGAAAAGCAACTGTGCAGTAAACGTTTCCACTATCTTTTTACTGGCTTAAAACAAACATCAGCATAAAATATTTACAGAGAAAATTGCATAATTATCAGCTAACGCACTGGAATATATCTTGGGGAAAAAAAACTTTTCTCACAGGCACTGTTTGTAGAAATCATATCAAAGGACAAAAGGAGGTATGTTGTGTTCTGAAACCGAGGCACCTCATAAATTATTGTGTTGAAGTGTCCTGAACATACTGTGTGACTTGCATTCCTATACAGTATTAGGCTACATTGAGCATTGTTGGTATAAAAATGGCTACATTCCTACACTGTATTACATTGGGCAATGTTAATAAACAAATTACTGTGTACTGTTCACCCTATGCTTTTGGGAAGGTTGGTATTTTTTTGTGGACGTCAGACAGCAAGGGATAACTAAGGGATAGTTAGTACAGAAAGCTGGCACTTGGCCTAAGGGCTCTGTGTATGGACAGAGTTTGCATCCAAAATGGCACCTTATTTCCTATGTAGTGCACTACTTTTGGCCAGGGCCCATGAGGCTCTGATCAAAGGTAGTACACTATAGGGAATAGGGTGCCATTTGGGACGCACCCAAAGCCAACGAGAGAGAACTAGTGTGTGACTCAGAGGCTCATGCTGAATATTTGGGTACTCTAAAGGTGTGTGTATGACAGAATGTTGTCAAGGTGGAATTCTGAAATCTAAAATGCTGTTTGTCTCGTCTTTTTCAAGAGAACTACTCGGTCAGTGGGCCCGAGGGAGTGAAGACCGAGTCGGTGGCCAGCCTACAGCCCCAGGCCTCCCAGAGCTCCATCCATTCAAGCTCTCCGGGACCGAAGCGCTCGGGTAACACCCTGAAGAAGTGGCTGACCAGCCCTGTGCGCCGCCTCAGCCACGGCAGCAGCATCAAGAAATTACCCAACAAACACAAGAAAAGGGACGGCCACAAGAGCATCGACCTGGGGCCGCCAGAGAGCGCCCTGCACGGCGAGAGCATAGATGAGGTAACGAGCGTTCTGACTCCTCTCCACCAGCGTTTCTCTCTCTCTCTCTCTCTCCCTCCCCCCTCTCTCTCTCCCTCCCCCCTCTCTCTCGCTTCTCTCTTTCCACCTCTCTCGCAGGACGAGAGCGTAGACGAGGTAACAATCACCTTCTCTTCTGCGTCCTCTTCAGCCTCCTCTCTCTCTCTCTTTTCACTCTCTCTCCATCCAGCGCGTCTCTGTACATACAGTAATTGGTTACAGGGACCGCTTATGGTGGACTTGTGCTTCTTTCAGGCTGTTTTAGTTTTACAAAGGGTTAAGTGAATGGATCGAATTTAGAGGTACAGTTCAGGCAACACCAGTTTAACCCATTGTTATCCAAACCAATGGGATTCTCCTCTAGATCAGACTGTTCTCTTGAACCTGCAGGAAAATGTTAATTACAAGGATTGCTTATCTAAAGCGTTCAGAATCTCTAGACCCTCCCATTTATGGAGGAGCAGTTTCCCAAGGATACAGTATGAGCTGTTATCTTATGACATCCTAGCCCAATAACCATGGGACCATTCTACAGGGTGCATGTGCAATGTTGGTTTAATCACAAGTCATGAACTATGGGCATCACAGTGTAGTACTAGTGTATATCTTCCCATTTAATTGATGGATAGCAGTGCAATGTTGTGCTGGACTGTAGCCACTGTTGCATGTAAATGCTTTAGATGCCTCCCAGAAGGATAGAAAAGTGAGAAAAATGCATATTCACCATTTGTTATTAGACAGCTACAGTATAATTTCACAGTAACAGAAAAGTAGATTCCTTGTTCTCTCTTCAAGCACAGCCCCATGATAAAAAAGCCTAAAGGAATGGTCACAGAAGTGTCCCACATGATTTGGTCCCGCCGATCAGTGCGACTGTGATAGGTTTGCGTGCCTAATGGCAACCTATTCTCTATAATTGTGCAGTGCACTATAATAGGGAATAGGGTGCCAAATGGGACGCACCCCTGCAGTGACTTCCTACTGGCTGGCTGGTGGCTGTGTGGCTCCCAGTGTGATTCTGAGACAGAGAGGCACTGTGGTGGAGCAGGGCACCCCTGTGAACCCCGGGACAATGGCCCACATTAACTCCTCCTACTCCCCCCCCCCTTGACTCTATCCTTTCTCTCCCTACAGCGGGGCAGAAAGGAGGGCACCCTGTCCAAGTCCTCCTCTGGAATGCAGAGTGGAGGAGAGGAGGAGCCTGAGGACGACTCGCACACCCCCCTGCCACCCCCCATGGAGATCATCAAGGACCCCTCATCCCAGGAGGAGAAGGTATGACACTGCACCCTCTCTCTCTGACACTGTAGTACCTCTTCTACCCTAGCTCACTCTGGAGTAACTTCTAGATGCGGCCAAAATGGCACCCTGTTATGCTCTGGTCAAAAGTATTGCACTATGTAGGGAATAGGGTGCCCTTTGGAACTCAGCCTTAGCAACAACAACCAAATACAACAAAAACATTTAAAAAGGAACTCAGCCTTAGCATGTCTTCCCTTCGATTAATGGACTTGTGTTCAAGAACCTTATTGTCGCAGACAATCTGTTATGTCACTCAGCACAGGCTCATAAGACGTGTCCACCTGCAGCCCCCTCCCCTCTGCTGCCTATATGTACAGTACAACACTATGCCACAAACTACCAGATGTGTCTACAGCGGAGTCTGTGTCTGCTGTGCCCTGATGAATGTGAGGCATTATGTGCACTGGCTTGGTTTACAGCTGGAAGAGCTGCTACACTGTTTGTGACCTGACTAACTAACACACTGTTGCACTGTTTCACTTTCACTCTCGCACTTGACTCTATATACAAGATCACACCACACTGTCTGTGTCTCGAATGGCACCCTATTCCCTTTGTAGTGCACTGCTTTTGACCAAGAGCTCTGGTCAAAACTAGGGCACTATAATTTGGGACACACACTTTGACCCCTAATTGTCTCTGGCCTACTACTAACTGATGTAGCTTGTGTATAATTCCACAACCACCTCACATTGCTCCACTAAAGTTTGCATTTTGTAGCTACTCAAAGGTCCAGACTAATAACTACCTTTGTCTCCCTGTCCCTGTTCCGTTTCTCCTCCTCCCTGCTGCTAACACGCCCTCCCTCCTTCCCTTCCTCCCAAACCGTGCCTTACAGTCCTCCGCATTGCTTACTGCTCGTCAGGGCTCTGCCGATGTCCCCAGCGCTGCGGAGCTTGTCAGTGCAATAGAAAAGTTGGTCAAAACTAAGATGGTAAGTGCAAAGGTGAATGCAATACAAAATGGCATTGAGCAATTGTCATTTCTACGCTGTCTTTGCACACTGCTAACAGTCGGTGACTATCTTTTAACCATCTCTAAGTTAACCCTCTCTTCCTCTTGACGTTATCTACTCGTTCCAACTTCCGCTTCTCAAAGGCCACTAGCCAACCATGTCATGCTGACTGGGAGCCACCATTTTGAGATGTTCATCAGATGTTCATGTTATCATGCAGGACAGTTAACACATAGCTTCCTTTCTCAATGTGGATGATAGAACACAGACCACGTCTCAAATGGCACCATATTCCCTGTCTAGTGCACTACTTTTGACCAGAGTCTGGTCAAAGGTAGTGCACTACATAGAGAATAGGGTGCCATTTGGGACTCAGACACAACCTCTCTTGTCACGTACAGATAAAATAAAACAGATGAAGTAGAATGGCGTCAGGTGAGAAATCGTGTGATACGTTTCCAAGCATCTAATGCACAGTAGCTTCCTTGTGAATGTTTGTTAATTTGACAATGCTTTGATCAACTCTCTTTCAGCTTTGTACACGTGGAGCCATTTCCAAAAGAGTACATTACAATCGAACAGTGTTTTTGAGATGCATAGATTTATTATGTGGTTCATTGAAGCAGAGTGATCTGAAGCAGAGTGATCTCCTCATCAGTTCCCTCTCCCTGTTTCACAGCACTGGACTGTATGACTGTAACCTCTGACCTCTGAGCCCTGGCTTCATGTCCTCTCTCTCTTCTACCCTTGTCAGAATCTGGAGCCAGGTGCCTATCCCAGCTTCACCACTTTGACTCCTCCAGAGCAGACCAGCCCAGCCCTGCCCAGGAACCCTGAACTGGAGCAGAAGGCCAAAGCTCTGCGTGGACGCATGTACGAGACATGTAGCTAAACCTCTGGCTGAGTCCCAATTCTCCGCCATTCTCACGAAGTGTGCATTTGCGCACTCCCCATCATGGATTTAACAATGGTGGATTACACCAATCCAATGTTTTTAAGTCCATGAAGGGGAGTGTTCAAGTGCACACTTCGAGAGAAGGTTGGAGAATGTGGCACACAAACAAGGGCCCTTGGCTCTCTTGAAACTCCCAAGTTAAAGTCCCTTTGTTTGTAACATTACTGCATTTAGAGGTGGTTCATTCTGCAGAGAAATGCTGCCTCCTGTGTGTATTCAGGTCACTGAACACACTTGTCCTTTTCCTCAGGTTTGTCCTCAATGAGCTGGTACAGACGGAGAAGGACTATGTCAAGGATTTGGGGATTGTAGTGGAGGTGAGTTGACAACAATCTCATCCTAGTAGGGGACTATTCAGCCTCAATATTGCGGAAGGAGCATGAGAGAGAGGTAACAGTGGTGTCCTAGTAACACTGGAGAATGTGACCAGTCACTGCTCTAGTTTTAGAACTCATAAATCTCCAAGGCTTGCGTCCCAAATGGCACACCATTCCCTATTTAGTGCACTACTTTTGACCAGAGCCCTATGTGCCATTATATAGGGATTAGGGTGCCATTTGGGATGCAACCAAGTGTTTTGTGTTGGAATAGCAGCGAGGCTGTGCCCTTGTTGTCGTCCTATTTGCATTGTGTCCTTCGGTATTTATGTCAAAGTCACAGAGAAGCTCTCTGACTTATGACCATATTTATGTACAGTACAGAAAACATAATTTGAGTATGGTTTTGTCTTACATGGTGAGATAAGTGCATAGGGGTTTTCTCATGTCCAGGGTTGCGTCCCAAATGACACCATATTCCCTATATAGTGCACTATAGGCCCTGGTTAAATGTAGTGCACTAAATACGGAATATGGTGCCATTTGGGATGCAGTCCATGAATTCAACCATATGTAGTAATCCTATTCTCTTTTTCCACCGCATGATAGTTTTACAATGCTGATTATTATCGGACTCTCATGTTTCCTGTGACGAGTCATATCAAGTCCACGACCTAAATTCGGTCTGATGTTTTTTTCCCTTGTAGGAGTTCATGAAGAAGATGGAGGAGAAGGGAGTCCCTGAAGATATGAAAGGAAAAGACAAAATCGTTTTTGGGAATATTCACCAGATTTACGACTGGCACAGAGAGTAAGTCGTTTTCCAGTCTGCTGATTGTGTCTGTGTGCAAAATGGCACCCTATTCCCTACGTAGTGCACTACTTTTGACCACAATGTGACTCTGTTGCTATCAATTGATCAAATCACTTTTTGTAAAGGAGAATATGTATAATTAAATCGAGGGTTCATATAAATTATCATAATATAACATATTTGGTAGCGGAATAACATTTGGGGAAATCGGGTCTAGACTTTATTTCCTTATCATTGTTATTATTATTATTATTATTATTGTCATTAAATTGTCTGCCGAAAATATGTCATGAGTCTTCTTAAGCTATGTAGAATTTGCGTGAAATGAGCTTCAAAACAACAACATTTTCCTAGGTCCCTCATTAAACAAAATCTAGCTGGTGTTGTATTTAATATAGGCCATCTCTGTAAACAATCATCAATAAAAAATCAAAAGGGGGGGGGTTCAAATGTGAAAAGGGTAGCCCTGGGGAAAAAAGGTTGGGAACCCCTGGTAGAAGACCAAACTTGGGCACTCCTCATGAAGTAGAATATAGCACTATTTTGGCTTGCCTTATTGCCCTACACAGTGATTGAGAGAATGTTTCCTCCCACAGTTTTTTTGTCGGTGAGCTGGAGAAATGTCTTGAAGACAGCGAACACCTTCCTGAGCTTTTCATAAAACATGTACGTGACTTGTGTCCCATTTGTTGTTTGGATGTAGTGGTGTAAGAACATGTTTTATTGTACATGATGATGAGATGCTGGGTGTTGTAGAACATCAAGTTAGACACATTTAACAACCATGGGTGACAACCAAAACATTTAACAACCATGGGTGACAACCAAAACATTTAACAACCATAGGTGACTTACTGAGGTTAAAATAATTATTCCGACATTTTCAACCATAGAACTGGAAAATAAATGAGCGGAAAGATACTAATACTGTGCTCCTTTTGTACAGGAGAGGCGACTACACATGTATGTGGTTTACTGCCAGAACAAGCCCAAGTCTGAATTCATCGTCGCTGAGTATGACACATTCTTCGAGGTGAGCTATACCACACTTATGAGAATTCTTGCGCAGTCTGAGAACAGCTTTGCATAAGAATATTTTATTGCGTTATAAATAAGCCTAATGCTAATTGCATATAATTCTACTTTAGGGCGTACAGCAAGAGATCAGTTCAAGACTGGGCATAAGTGACTTTCTCATAAAGCCAATTCAGAGAATTACCAAGTATCAGCTACTTCTAAAGGTAAGGCTAAAATGTTCAACTCCAGCATACAAGGAACCCTGTAATATGCAAGTCTTAGATATACTGTATTTACACAAAATCTTTTTTTAAAAATTATTGATGCCCTATTAATTACTTAACTCTTTTTTTTTTCAGGACTTCTTGAAGTATAGTTCCAAAGCAGGACTAGATTGCCAAGAGATGGAGGTAACAGAAACGATTTGCAATTAAAGCTATATAGTATGTGTTGTATCTTGTATAGGGTTTCCCAAAATACCTGTTTTTTCTGAAATCCCCTTGGGAAAGTTACTGGAATTTTGTAACCTTGTTGTATTGTGTATCCATCATCATGGCTATATCTACTTCAATGCTCACACCATTCTTAATGTGTTTTACAGAAAGCAGTTGGTTTAATGTCCCAGGTCCCCAAGCTGTGCAATGACATGATGAATCTTGGCAGACTACAAGGCTACGAGGTACTGTACATTTCATGTCATGTACAGTGGGGGAAAAAAGTATTTAGTCAGCCACCAATTGTGCAAGTTCTCCCACTTAAAAAGATGAGAGAGGCCTGTAATTTTCATCATAGGTACACGTCAACTATGACAGACAAAATGAGAATTTCTTTTCCAGAAAATCACATTGTAGGATTTGTAATGAATTTATTTGCAAATTATGGTGGAAAATAAGTATTTAGTCAATAACAAAAGTTTCTCAATACTTTGTTATATACCCTTTGTTGGCAATGACACAGGTCAAACGTTTTCTGTAAGTCTTCACAAGGTTTTCACACACTGTTGCTGGTATTTTGGCCCATTCCTCCATGCAGATCTCCTCTAGAGCAGTGATGTTTTGGGGCTGTCGCTGGGCAACACAGACTTTCAACTCCCTCCAAAGATTTTCTATGGGGTTGAGATCTGGAGACTGGCTAGGCCACTCCAGGACCTTGAAATGCTTCTTACGAAGCCACTCCTTCGTTGCCCGGGCGGTGTGTTTGGGATCATTGTCGTGCTGAAAGACCCAGCCACGTTTCATCTTCAATGCCCTTGCTGATGGAAGGAGGTTTTCACTCAAAATCTCACGATACATGGCCCCATTCATTCTTTCCTTTACACGGATCAGTTGTCCTGGTCCCTTTGCAGAAAAAACAGCCCCAAAGCATGATGTTTCCACCCCCATGCTTCACAGTAGGTATGGTGTTCTTTGGATGCAACTCAGCATTCTTTGTCCTCCAAACACGACGAGTTGAGTTTTTACCAAAAAGTTCTATTTTGGTTTCATCTGACCATATGACATTCTCCCAATCCTCTTCTGGATCATCCAAATGCACTCTAGCAAACTTCAGACGGGCCTGGACATGTACTGGCTTAAGCAGGGGGACACGTCTGGCACTGCAGGATTTGAGTCCCTGGCGGCGTAGTGTGTTACTGATGGTAGGCTTTGTTACTTTGGTCCCAGCTCTCTGCAGGTCATTCACTAGGTCCCCCCGTGTGGTTCTGGGATATTTGCTCACCGTTCTTGTGATCATTTTGACCCCATGGGGTGAGATCTTGCGTGGAGCCCCAGATCGAGGGAGATTATCAGTGGTCTTGTATGTCTTCCATTTCCTAATAATTGCTCCCACAGTTGATTTCTTCAAACCAAGCTGCTTACCTATTGCAGACTCAGTCTTCCCAGCCTGGTGCAGGTCTACAATTTTGTTTCTGGTGTCCTTTGACAGCTCTTTGGTCTTGGCCATAGTGGAGTTTGGAGTGTGACTGTTTGAGGTTGTGGACAGGTGTCTTTTATACTGATAACAAGTTCAAACAGGTGCCATTAATACAGGTAACGAGTGGAGGACAGAGGAGCCTCTTAAAGAAGAAGTTACAGGTCTGTGAGAGCCAGAAATCTTGCTTGTTTGTAGGTGACCAAATACTTATTTTCCACCATAATTTGCAAATAAATTCATTAAAAATCCTACAATGTGATTTTCTGGAAAAAAAAATCTCAATTTGTCTGTCATAGTTGACGTGTACCTATGATGAAAATTACAAGCCTCTCTCATATTTTTAAGTGGGAGAACTTGCACAATTGGTGGCTGACTAAATACTTTTTTTCCCCACTGTATTTATTTAGCCAGGATATTCCACTCAGTAACAATTGCCTCTGTTATGTCATACGTGTACAGGAAGTTAGTGCCAAGATCAGCTGTGATTTTAGGATTGTTTCAATCCATGCTCAGCTTGTGAAAAATTAGAAAAATTTACTCATGAAGCTGTATTAGCTATATTATTAACTCAAACAGGTCATGGCTTAGAGAGTCTTAATGTTTGTTCCTCCATAGCCGTAGTAAAAGTCACTTTGACGACACTCAGACTAAATGAAATCTCTGACCTCTAAGATAAGCAAAGATTTGCCTTGCCTGATGTAACAGTGGGGAGATTAAAGCACTTTTTGACAATGGCCTGGGCTACGTCCCAGATGGCACCCTATTCCCTATATAGTGCACTACTTTTGACCAGAGCCCTATGGGTGCCATTTGATGGGTGCAATTTGAGATGCAACCCGTGGTTTCAGACCAAGCATATGTGTCTGCTGTTAGCTTTATGACCTGGTGAGGAGAGAAGGGCTGATGGACTGTGTAATACCCCTGTGTTGACAGACAGACTGGGGGATGGCTGACTCTGCTTTATTCTCCAGCGTTGATAGACGTTGAGACGTAACTGATCCAGTGTGTGTTTGCGTGTGTCTGTCCGTGTTTGTGTGTGTTCCTGTTCCGCCCCCCAGGGTAAGCTCACCAGCCAGGGTAAGCTGCTGCAGCAGGAGACGTTCTTTGTGACAGAGCAGGACACAGGCGTGCTGTCGCGCAGCAAGGAGCGCAGGGTCTTCTGTTTGAGCAGATTGTCATCTTCAGCGAGCTCCTCCGCAAGGGCTCGTCCACGCCGGGCTACCAGTTCAAGAAGAGCATCAAGGTGAATTACGTCAACCACGACCACAATCAATAACATCAGGGCCCACATTTACAAACCGTCTCAGAGTGCTGATCTAGGAACAGGTCCACCCTCTTATTCATTATGATTAAAAGGCCAAACTGGTCCTAGATCAGTACCTTCTCCTAATAGAGCTGTCCCGGAAACAATTTCCTATTTCCTACTTTTGCGTTGATAATGATTTGTGCATTGATGGGTTAGCATGCTTGTTTCATTGTAACAGGTGAGCTACCTGGGCTTGGAGGAGCACGTGGACAACGACCCTTGTAAGTTTGTGCTGTCGTGTCGAGGCTCGGCCGAGCGCTTCACCCTGCAGGCAGCCAACCTGGACATCAAGCAGGTGTGGGTCCAACATGTCAGCCAGGTCCTGGATGCCCAGAGCAACTTCCTGTCTGGTGAGAGAACGTCCTGCTTGACAAACACGTCTACTGTCATTAGCTAGCTCTAAGGTTGCAAGATTCCAGTAATTTTCCCAAGATTCCCAGAAGAATTTCAAGAAATCCTAGTAGGAGGATTCCAGATTTTATGCTCATTCGCTCCTGATTCAGGTAATCTTCCAACCAAGATTTCTGGAAAACCTGGAAAATTTAGAAAATGTACTGGAATTGTGCAATCCTAGCTAGATCAAAACCTGTTTAATCATAACTACAGCCTCAACACAGAGTAATACTATGCTATGTTCACCTCTATCATGGTCCTCATCTGTCTAACACAGAATACACAGATATTATGTGGCTTATCTGTCATTGACTAGTGTGTGTAACAATGAACCATCTCCACAGCCCTGCAGTCTCCTATTGAGTACCAGAAGGAGAAGGGTAGTTCTCACTCCCTCACCAGAAACCCGTCCGGCAGCCGGCCTCCTAGTTCCAACAGTAGGCCCCTCTCCACCTCCTCTGTGGGGGCAGAGAAGCCCCCCCTGGTGGGACCGGGAAGGACCCCCACCCCTCTCGAGCTATCTACTTCCAACGGTAGCGCCTGCTTCGACCCCACGAAACACAGTGAAAGCTACGACTCCACCAGCGTGAGTCCAGTCCAGTCTGGTTTAATCTAGTCCAGATCACTCCAGTCTAGTCTAGTCCAGTTCTGTCCAAAGCCAATTGCCAGGACACACCCAGGTCGTAGTGTTACATTAGTTCTGATGGCTGGCCTAGTTTTACCGCATTTCAACAGGAGACGTTGTGTTCGAACTTGCTGACAAGAAGAACTGAAGTCAGAGTTAAGGAATTGAGTCAATGTACTGTACTGTATGTGATGACTCAGACCCTTTTGAAAGGATCGTTATTTGAATGTGCATACAGGTTTGAATCAGTGTTGTGATTACCACTGTCATAATATAATTATCTTCCTTCCTGTACCTCCACACCCCTCCCCATCCCCTCCCCAGCAGCATGACAGCGTTGGATGTAACGGCATGTCCTCCACCATGATGGTGACCCAGGACTACAGTGCACTGAAGGAGAATGAGATCTGTGTGATCCAGGGCGAGATGGTGCAGATCATGGCCACCAACCAGCAGAACATGTACCTAGTTTACCGGCCCGCCAACAGCCAGTCTCCTGCAGCCGAGGGCTGGATCCCAGGCCACATCCTGGGCCCCCTCACTAAAACGCTCAAAGACAGTGCTGCTGACGCAAGCATCAAGTAAGTGTCCCGTAAGCCCTGCCCCCACACCCACGGAGCTGCTCTGATTGGATGAGGTGAAAGTTGAGTCTGCTCCAATCCCTACCCCCAACCCCCTTTATGGGAACTAACTCGGAAATGTTGGACTACACAGGGGTCATGTTTTCTCCCTATTTTCTGTTAATATATGTAAAGACTTATTAAATAATTCTCTGAAAAGAGTTAGGACTGTAGAGAAGACGCACAGAGAAAATCTTACATCAATGTGGAAATGACTGGTCTGGACTTTTATTTCTGTTTCTAACACCGTTTTTTTCTTTGCACGTTTTGAAAAAAAAAAAGAAAGGCCTGATGATGGACTGAGGCCTATTTCTCCAAGTGGAGAAAGTTTATGTTATTGTCTATGGCAATTTGTACAGGTTGTGTTTTTAGTTTATTTTTAGAACATTTCTGGGTTTTGTTTGTTTTTGTTTTGTTTTATTATTATCAGATATGTTGGCAGTTTACTGTAAACGTTAATTTGGTTTATTTACTGATTCGCTCTCCAGTACATTCCTGTATAAAGTATTTTGCACTATTTAAGAGAATCCATTATTAATGAAGTCAGGTTGTGCAATATAATGAGAGTCACAATGTTCATCATTGTACTTGTAGTGTAACTAATCATTTAAAATGCATTTTAAATATGTAAAATACAATTTTGACATAAGCATGAGTTTGCAAGGCAACATCTAAGTTGAACTTGTTTGCATTAGAAGAACATCAGTGACATTGTTAATATTGGTAAATACTACAACTCTGCAGTCAAACTGCACTTTTCTCTGCTGACCATTGCTCTTACAGCATTAGACCTAGATTCCATTCTTATCTCACATTGAGGTTAAAATGAATAGTAAAATCAGTTAAACCAGTTATTTTATAATGTTGAATTCAATTTGTAAAGATCTTTATCAAGTTTAATTGTGGCTTGCCATCCATTTCCTCCCAATGATGGACCATTTCTAAATCGTGGTCTTTATTAAAGTGATCATCATTCTCATGGACATGTCCTGGTGGTGTATAAATACATTCACAAAACACAAACACCACTTCTGGGATCTACATACAGGAGTGAAGAGGTTAGGAGTTTTTCAACAGCACTTTATGCACTTTCTATATGATTTGTTTATTTTTACCCGTTTTGTTGACGTAGTCTGGTTATTATAGTAGACAACTTATTTTAATTTTCTACTAACCACACCGGTCCTCGACAAAAGTTGGTTGTGTACAAAGCAGCATCATTGAAAATCTCATGACAAATTAGAGCCATTGAATGGTTGGTCAGACCTCATATGTTCAACCAACTTTGCTGCTTTAACACAAATTGTCTGTCCACTATGGTGTAAGAGAATCAAGGTATGGTAGCGTATGGAGAAGTCACATTTTACATAGCTTCTCCATCTTGTGTGTTTAAATTTCTAATACAAAGGTGATACAAACATGAACATTTGCTTTTCTATTTGGAAAATTCTGTTCCAAAGGAGGTACATTTGTCTCTCTTTCTTTCGCTTTCTCTTGATCTCAATCTCACTCTTTGATTTTCTTTCCTTTCAATAAAGTTGGCTAGCCCCACTCAATCCCCCCTGCACCTCCTCTCCCCTCACTGTGAATAAGCCTGGATTTGACTGGTACATTTCTTGGCACAACAGGAAATCTCTTTCATGGAATACCCTGCGCTCAAGAAAGCGGGCAGAAAAGGATATCAGTGGCAAGGGTGGTGATGCAAAGGTTGAGAATGGACTCCGTAAGCCCAAGGAGATTCTCAGCACCAAGGTCACTGTCGAAGTGAGTAAGCGGGCTAATGGCGGAGATGGAGTTCTGTGACCCTGGCTGCCAATCCCTCACCTGTGTGTTGTGATGTTAATAATCTCCAACACTAAAACATAATAATCTAACTGCACTGTCTGCTCTTACTTTGGTTTGACTCCCCCTTATGCATGACGCTAATGAGTCAAGTGACTTCTTGTCTGTGAATTGTGGTATTTTTGGTTTTGATTAAGCTAACTTTTGTTTTTGTTCAAATTAACAATTTTTGTTGACATGAATAACACTGTGAAACCACTATTTTGATAGCTTGATGGGTTCCAGGACATATGTTATCTCCTAAAGGAAAGTCCTCATTCCAGAGTATGGGTTTAGCATTACGGTATTATAAGCTGTTCACTTAGCTGTTCAATTAAAACACACTTAAACTGGAACTCACTATACAGTGCATTCGGAAAGTATTCAGACCCCTTCCCTTTTTCAACATTTTGTTACGTTATTCTAAAATGGATTACATTTTTAAAAATCCTCATCAATCTACACACAATACCCCATAATGACAAAGCGAAAACTGTTTTTTAGATATCTTTGCTAATTTATAAAAAATAAAAAACACAAATACCTTATTTACATAAGTATTCAGACCCTTTGCTATGAGACTCAAAATTGAGCTCAGGTGCATCCTGTTTCCATTGATCATCCTTGAGATGTTTCTACAACTTGATTGGAGTCCACCTGTGGTAAATTTAATTGATTGGACATGATTTGGAAAGGCACACACCTGTCTATATAAGGTCCCACAGTTGACAGTGCATGTCAGAGCAAAAACCAAGCCATGAGTTCGAAGGAATTGTCCGTAGAGCTCCGAGACAGGATTGTGTTGAGGCACAGATCTGGGGAAGGGTTCCAGGACATGTCTGCAGCATTGAAGGTCCCCAAGAATACAGTGGTCTCCATCATTCTTAAATGGAAGAAGTTTGGAACCACCAAGACTCTTCCTAGAGCTGGCCGCCCGTCAAGCTGAGCAATCGGGGGAGAAGGGCCTTGGTCAGGGAGGTGACCAAGAACCTGATGGTCACTCTGACAGACCTCCAGAGTTCCTCTGTAGAGATGGGAGAACCTTCCAGAAGGACAACCATCTCTGCAGCACTCCACCAATCAGGCCTTTATGGTAGAGTGGCCAGACAGAAGCCACTCCTCAGTAAAAGGCACATGACAGCCCGCTTGGAGTTTGCCAAAAGGCACCTAAAAGACTCTCAGACCATGAGAAACAAAATTCTCTGGTCTGATGAAACCAAGATTGAACTCTTTGGCCTGAATGCCAAGACTCACGTCTGGAGGAAACCTGGCACCATCCCTAAGGTGAGGCATGGTGGTGGCAGCATCGTGCTGTGGGGATGTTTTTCAGCAGCAGGGACTGGGAGACTAGACAGGATTGAGGGAAAGATGAACGGAGCAAAGTACAGCGAGATCCTTGATTAAAACCTGCTACAGAGCGCTCAGGACCTCAGACTTGGGCGAAGGTTCACCTTCCAACAGGACAAAGACCCTAAGCACACAGCCAAGACAATGCATTTGTCACGATCGTGTGAATGATGAGACCAAAGCGCAGCGCGTGTTCCGATAAACATGATGACTTTATTTAATTAAAGTGCAACACGAGAAAACAACAAAGAACGATACGTGAAGTTCCAAAAAATAAACTAACCAAGCATAAGGAAAACTAACAGCAATCAAGGAAACAAAAACCCACAAACCCCACAGGACAACATACAGCCTAAATATGGCTCCCAATCAGAGATAACGAGCCGAACAGCTGACAACTCGTTACCTCCGATTGGGAGTCAATGAATACAAACACCCAACATAGAAATACCACAACCTAGACCAACATAGAAATACACCCAAACAAATGAACATGAACAACCCTGGCTCAAGAATAAAGGTCCGTGGAGCCAGAGTGTTACATTACCCCCCCCTAAAGGTGCGACCTCCGGGCGCACCAGCAAACAGTCTAGGGGAGGGTCTGGGTGGGCGTCTGTCCAGGTGGCGGCTCTGGCCCAGGTCGTGGTCCCCACCCCACCATAGTCATTACCCACTTACTTAGCCTCCTACACATTACCACCCCCCCACTACACCCCACTGGGTTAAGGGGCGGCACCGGACTAAGGGGCAACACCGGACTACGGACCAGCACCGGGATAAGGGGCAGCACCGGGCTAAGGGGCAGCACCGGGCTAAGGGGCAGCACCGGGCTAAGGACCAGCACCGGGATAAGGACCAGCACCAGGCTAAGGAACAGTACCTGACTAAGTGGCAGCACCGGACTGAGGGGCAGCTCCGGACTGAATGGCGGATCCTGGCTGGCTGGCTCAGGCAGATCCTGGCTGAACGGCTCATGGCTGGCTGAAGGATCTGGCTGCTCATGGCTGGCCGACGGATCTGGCTGCTCATGGCTGGCCGACGGATCTGGCTGATCCTGTCTGGCCGAAGGCTCTGGCTGATCCTGTCTGGCGGAAGGCTCTGGCTGATCCGGTCTGGCGGAAGGCTCTGGCTGATCCGGTCTGACGGAAGGCTCTGGCTGCTCCGGTCTGACGGAAGGCTCTGGCTGATCCGGTCTGACGGAAGGCTCTGGCTGATCCGGTCTGACGGAAGGCTCTGGCTGCTCCTGTCTGGCGGAAGGCTCTGGCTGATCCTGTCTGGCGGAAGGCTCTGGCTGATCCTGTCTGGCGGAAGGCTCTGGCTGATCCTGTCTGGCGGAAGGCTCTGGCTGATCCTGTCTGGCGGAGAGCTCTAGCGGCTCCGATCTGGCGGACGGCGCTGAAGGCTCATGGCAGACGGGCGGCTTTGTAGGCTCTGTACAGACGGGTAGTTCAGACGGCGTTGGGCAGACGGACAGTTCAGACGGCGTTGGGCCGACAGGCAGTTCAGGCGCCGTTGGGCAGACGGGCAGTTCAGACGGCGTTGGGCAGACGGGCAGTTCAGACGGCGTTGGGCAGACGGGCAGTTCAGACGGCGTTGGGCAGACGGACAGTTCAGGCCCCGTTGGGCAGACGGACAGTTCAGGCCCTCTGAGGCGCACCGTAGGCCTGTTGCGTGGTGCCGGAACCGGAGGTACCGGGCTGAGGACACGCATCACAGGGCTAGTGCGGGGAGAAGCAACAGGGCATGCTTGGCCCTGGGGACGCACCGTAGGCCTGATGCGTGGTGCCGGAACTGGAGGTACCGGGCTGAGGACACGCATCTCAGGGCTAGTGCGGGGAGTCGGAACAGGGCATGCTGGACCCTGGGGACTCCCATAACGCCTAGTGCGGGGAGCCGGAACAGGGCATACTGGACCCTGGGGACTCACCTCACGCCTAGTGCGGAGAGCAGGAACAGGCCGGGCTGGGCTGGCGACGCGCACCGTATCCCTGGTGCGAGTGGCCGGAACAGGCCGGGCCGGGCTGGCGAAGCGCACCGTATCCCTGGTGCGTGGAGTAGGAACAGGCCGGGCTGGGCTGGCGAAGCGCACCGTCTCCCTGGTGCGTGGAGTAGGAACAGGCAGGGCTGAGCTGGCGACGCACACCGTATCCCTGGTGCGAGTGGCCGGAACAGGCCGGGCCGAGCTGGCGAAGCGCACCGTATCCCTGGTGCGTGGAGTAGGAACAGGCCGGTCCATACCGGGAACACACACCACTGGCCTCAACCGAGGATCAGGAACGGGCCGGACCGGACTGGCAACACACCTCAGTCCTTCACGCCGTGCCACACACACATCCCTGCCTCTTCTCGCCAATGGCTCCCGTACTCCGTTAGCCCTCTCACCTATACTCCCTGTGGCAGCTTCCTGCTGCCCAGCCACCCAAGCCATGTGCCCCCCCCCAAAAACTTTTTGGGGTTGCCTCTCTTCCACGGGCTTCCAGCCTCGCCTTCGCGCTGCCTCCTCGTACCACCTCCTCTCGGCTTTGGCTGCCTCCAGCTCTTCCCGAGGGCGGTGATACTCCTCCGGTTGTGCCCAAGGACCCTTTCCAGCCCGGATCTCCTCCCATGTCCAAAAATCTTTAGGAGGCGTCCATAACTCCTGGACGCGCTGCTTGGTCCTTTTTTGGTGGGTTTTTCTGTCACGATCGTGTGAATGATGAGACCAAAGCGCAGCGCGTGTTCCGATAAACATGATGACTTTATTTAATTAAAGTGCAACACGAGAAAACAACAAAGAACGATACGTGAAGTTCCAATACTGAAAATAAACTAACAGCATCAAGGAAACAAAAACCCACAAACCCCACAGGACAACATACAGCCTAAATATGGCTCCCAATCAGAGATAACGAGCCGAACAGCTGACACTCGTTACCTCCGATTGGGAGTCAATGAATACAAACACCCAACATAGAAATACCACAACCTAGACACCCCAACATAGAAATACACCCAAAACAAATGAACATGAACAACCCTGGCTCAAGAATAAAGGTCCGTGGAGCCAGAGTGTTACAGCATTAGTGGCTTCGGGACAAGTCTCTGATTTTCCTTGAGTGGCCCAGCCAGAGCCCGGATTTGAACCAGATCAAACATCTCCGGGGAGACCTGAAAAGAGCTGTCCAGTGACGCTCCCCATCCAACCTGACAGAGATTGAGAGGATCTGCAGAGTAGAATGGGAGAAACTACCCAAATACAGGTGTGCCAAGCTTGTAGTGTCATACCCAAGAAGACTCGAGGCTGTAATCGCTGCCAAAGGTGCTTCAACAAAGTACTGAGTAAGGGGTCTGAATACTTATATAAATGTGATTTTTTTTCTATACATGTACCAAAATTTATACAACCCTGTTTTTGCTTTGTCATTATGGGGTATTGTGTGTAGATTGACGAGGTTTAAAAAATATATATATATATATATATATATATTAGAATAAGGCTGTAACCTAACAATGTGGAAAAAGTCAAGGGGTCTGAATACTTTCCGAATGCACTGTACATTATCTTCCTGTATCAATATACAGTAGCAGTGCATTTCAAAGTAACCCCATATAAATTCCAAATGATGCTAAGTCTGCCTATCCATCTATAATTTCAA